AGAAGTGGTGCTGTGGCTCATGTGGTAGAGCGCTAGCCTTGAGCTGAAGAGCTGAGGGACAGCGCCCAGGCCCAGAGTTCAGGCCCCACGACCGGACCAAAAAAAAAAGAAAAAAGAAATGTACTCATTATCTTGCCCATGTAATTGTAACCCCTCATATGGTATTTTCACAATAAAAAAAAAGAAAAGAAACGACTTTGCATAAATGCAAGAGGGAGCTGGTTCTAGGTTCTCTCAGATAATAACAGGTGTATGTGTGTGTGTGTGTGTGTGTGTGTGTGTGTGCTTGAACTCACTGTCTTTTAGCTTTTTTGCTCAAGGTTGCTACTCTACCACTTGAGCCACTACTCCACTTCCATCCTTTTTGCTGGTTAATTGGACTTTCTATCCAAGTTGCCTTTGAACCATAATCCTTTGATCTCATCCTGAGTAGTTAGGATTACAAGCATGAACCACTGGCACCCAGCTAATAATAGGTTTTCAAGTACATTAATACCCGTCATGAAGTATGTGGCATAATTCTTTTCACTGTTCTGGTCATTCCAGTATTGTTTAGTATCCTTGACTCTTGAACACTAACTCCCAGAAACCTCCAGCACTATACACAAAACAGTTGAACAACCAAAAATATATCCTATAGATTCCCCAAATAACCCCTAGAGGGCAGTACATCCTCCTGTTGAGAACTGATTCAGAGGAGTAAATGGGGCCTGGGTTCTCTCAAGAGTTAGAAATGGCCGGGCACTGGTGGCTCACGTCTGTAATCCTAGCTACTCAGGAGGCTGAGATCTGAGGATCGAGGTTCAAAGCCAGCCCGGGCAGGAGAGACTGTAAGACTCCTATCTCCAATAAACCACCAGAAAACCGGAAGTGGCGCTGTAGCTCAAGTGGTAGAGCGCTCTCCTTGAGCTGAAGAGCTGAGGGACAGCGCCCAGGCCCAGAGTTCAAGCCCCACGACCGACAAAAAAAAAGAGTTAGAAATGGAATAAGCTTCATTTCAGGATACCATACCTTTCCCTGTCATACTCTGTACTTTGGACACTTATTT